CAGGACACTCCCAATTAAACTTACCTATATAAGAGATTAATAAGAAATCAGTTATATGTTTTGATCTATCCGATGAAGTTTTGGCAGCGTTTTTAATTTCTCGTAAATTTTTCTTTTCAACAAGTTATAAAATCCGTTTTCGTTGAAAGTAAAAGGTGAGTTTCTTGGCACTTTTGCATCTCTGACTAGATACTGTGGAAGCAAAGTGGAAGGTACTGCAGATATATGATGAGATTCGAAAGCTTCCGTTATATCTGTTCCCTGAAAAAAAAAAAAATATATATATATATATATACGAGTATATAAAGAGAATATGATCATGCGGAGAAAGGTATATAACAATAAGTAGGAACATAATGGGCAAAATCCGCAAAAAGGAGGAGAGTGGATTCGAGCAGAAAGTAGGATAGGTAACCCGAGCGATACGTATTTCTGCTGGTTGGCTTCATTCGAATCCACTTTCCTCCTTTTTGCGGATTTTGCCATTATGTTCCTACTTGTTGTTATATACCTTTCTCCGCATGATCATATTCTCTTTGTAGATCCTTTGGGCCTGAAGTACCACAGCAAGTGGCTATAACCGGCGCGCGTGGTGGTGGTTAGACGTCTCCTTGAAAATTCGAGGTCGTATAGCCATTTTATACTACAATGTGTAGGTTGGATCTTGTTGTGGACTTCGTGTGTCGTTTTTGTTTTCCCTCCAACTTCGTTTCCTCAGGTTACACCCGTATCCGGATGTGTGTGCACGTGTATCTACTTTTGTAGTTTCATATGTGCATCATTTCGGGCCTGATGAAGCCAACCAGCAGAAAGACGTATCGCTCGGGTTATCTATCCTTTTCTGCTCGAATCCACTTTCCTCCTTTTGCGGATTTTGCCCATTATGTTCCTACTTGTTGTTATATATATGTATTCATAGTTAATTGCCTTAACTGTTAGGAGAAAATATACTTGAATTTCTTTGGGTAGAAGGCAATGTTTTTCATAAGTACACTCTTATATCTGGAACTTCGATGGTCTATGCCATCATCGTATGGAGCTAAAAATACTTTTTTAAAAATATCAACAATAAGCAATTAGGAGGAAAAAATATAATTACTTACTGAGTCGGCGAGATTGTTGCTGTCGACGAACAAAACAATGATAACAACAATCCCAACCTTTCCAACAACAACAATGACAATAATTCTAACAATACAGATATTTCCTCCATTTCCAGAATTAATTTTGCAATCCTGCCATATGATAAAGACCTAACAGTAAAACTTTATAGATTGTGCAACACTTTAAATTGTCGTTTAAGAACAATTTCAGCAACAATGTCGCCGACTTAGTAAGTTATATTTTTTCCTCCTAATTGCTTATTGTTGCTATTTTTCAAAAAAAATTGTTTTTTTAGCTCCAGGCGATGATGGCATAGACCATCGAAAGCTCGAGAGTGTACTTATGCAAAACTATGCATTCTACGAAAAGAAATTCAAGGATATTATATATTATATATATATACAGGGTGTCCGCAAAGTTGGGGTTTTCCTTTTACACGACGTGTAGATCTTGAAAACATAAGCAATTTTTCTTAGTACCATATACACCAATGTCTTAAGGGAACCGAGATAAAGGGCTCTGCAACATCAAAAATATCTGAATACCGTCCTGTAGCCGCGACATCACCGCCTGGTACAAGGTCACTGCTCAACCCGACCCAACCTTCAACCGACGGTTACGGTCACGCGTATAGAGGTAATCGCGTAGACGAGAATCCCTCAACAAGCACTAGAGACGTGTCTAGAGAAGTGCAAGTATCAAAAACTAAAGTGTGGCAAACGCTGCGTGAAGAGGGGCTGTATCCGTTTCACGTCCAACGTGTACAAGCCCTTCAACCTGACGATTTTCCAGCAAGAGTGCGGTTTTGTGAGTGGTTGTTGCATCAACATGACAATAATCCGGACTTTTTGAAGTGCATATTGGTGATAGACGAATCTACGTTCACGCGTAATGGGGTGAATAACTTTCGCAACACTCATGTTTGGTCAGTAGAAAATCTGCACGCTGTCCGTCGGGCACATTTTCAACAAACATTTTCGGTGAATGTTGGGCTGGCATGGTGAACGGTATGCTCATTGGACCATTTATTCTCCCAAATCGATTGGACGGATGCAATACCTAGACTGTTTACGCAACATTTTGCCTTCCTTGTTAGAAGATGTGCCATTAAGTGTAAGACAATCAATGTGGGTTTATGCGTCTGCCTCGGTAGCGCATCAGCTGATTTCATTTTCTGCTGGAGCGGTAGATTCGGGCAGGTACGTACTTAGCCCTTCTCGTCAACTGGAGAGTGAGTACTTTTTCCTTTATTTTTTTTTACTTGGTCGCCCTCGTTTCACTACACATTACCTTTGTTATTTTCAATGGTAGTTGTTTCTGAAAAGGAAAACCCCCAACTTGCGGACACCCTGTATATATATATATATATATATATATATATTGACTTGAGACGTGGTCATTGTTGTCCAGACCAATTAGGTGAAAAATAAGCTTCCGAATTTTGTTGGGTACTTCGACAAAATTCAAGCAATGAGGACTCTTATACTTTACCAGTCTCTAGCTTCAACGGACTTTGCCATCATCATCAGGAGCTGCAATAACATGAAGAACAACTCCATGATAGCTAGAGACTAATAAAGTAAAAAGTCCTCATGCTTGAAATTTGTCGAAGTACCCAACTAAAGGCGGAAGCTTTATTTTTCACCTATATAAATCCACTTTACCAAAATATCATTGCCCATATTGGAGCGAGACAGTAACCAAATTAGTGACACTTGAAAAAAACCATGCTTTGAAACGGAAACTGGCTACAGATCAAGGGATAAATGTGGTCATACAGAATCATTTCAAACACTTTTTAAACATTTCACAAAGTGAATATGGCTCTATAGATTTCAATTTCATTCAAACCGCGACTTTTGTGTAGGGGACAGATCTTTGCCTTTTCCAAGCTGTTGGAAATTTTGAAGAGCTGGAGAGTTGAAATGAAACCACAAATGCTGAATTGAAATATTTATTACGTTTACCTTAGTGGTACTTTGAAAAAGGTCAACACGCTGGCTGCCAGCAAACCATTGATTAGATTTTTGTTGTCTCATAATTTTTGCCCAAAATGAGCCTGTATTTAATATTTTTTATATTCAAATGGTACGTGCAAAGAGTGAAGACAAAACATTTGGATTTAAACTCCCTTACCTTGTTAGCCTTAACCAGTCTTTACCTCCAGGATGATCATGAACAAAATCACTGAAGTCGTACAACTGATCATGAATCCTCCATAGTCCTTCTGCTCCATCATCAATACGTTTGCTCTCCAGCCACATATGTCCATTGTGTAAAGGGTGATCTCTGAATTTTGGATACTTTATCCCAAGACTGCTGAGGTGTCCAGACTTTTATCGTATTGTTTCTGTTGATATAACTGTTTCAGAGCGCTTATTTCGTTTTGCACGATGCTGGTTAGGTGGTCGATATGTAGCCCGTCATGTCTAACAAACGAATACGTTTAAAATATAGAATGTTGATAAACTGTCGAATTAGTCATGTTTGGAAATAGTAAACATTCAGTTAAATTGCATAGAAATGTAGCAAAACGACATAACAAAATCGAGAAATACGTGGGAAGTGGCATATTTTTGATAATACTGCAAGGTATCGCGTACCAGCAAGCGTTTGTTATTTGTAGGGTAAATGTAACTTTGATGAGCCCAAGCATTCGGACAACGGATTAAATATAGTTTTTTTATGATGATTTATTTTGGTCACGACTTGTGAATCACCCTGTATAAAAAAGTCTACATAAATACGCAATGTAGCAAATAAGAAATCCATTGTGCCTGGAATCTTTATATCTAATACATCGATCTAACATAATTAGTGATTTGAGCTAAAATTACAAAAATCCGTAACACTTAACATTCAATGTACACTTCAAACGTTAAACATGTTTACTACGTTGTCTCACGCTTTCTGGAAAACATCAGTACGGTGTAGGTTCTAAACATTTGGAGATATAGCGGAAGGCTATAGGTCTACGAAAAATAAGCGTGATACTGCCACCCATGAATAGCTTCACCAGTCACATAGTTTGCCATTGCTGGAAGCATGGTGAGCACTTAGGTAAAAAGATAATATACAGGGTGGCCTCTCCATGTGTGGACGGAACATTGCTCATAAACAAATACATCTTGGATAAATCTATTTATGGCCTGTTATACATGACATTTGAGGCACATTCTAAAATATTGGCAATTACACAGGGTGTCCCAATTTTGACCTACATATCAAAGTTGTAATTTCTTAAATGGAATGCCTCAATTTTATTGCATATTTGAATAAAGCAATTTAAAATAAGAATATTGATATAACACACTGTTTTGTCCAGAAAACTGTCCACTTCGGCACCCCCTCAGACCGCCATTTTGAAATTTGGAGTGCTGATTGGAACACCCTCTATAATTGCAGATATTTTAGAAATGCGCCCTCATATGTCGTGTATAACATGCCATAAATAGATTTCCTGAAACGCATTTGTTTATGAGTAATATCCGTCCGCACACGGATGGGCCACCCTGTATATGTAAACAACAAACCCGCCTCAGCAGATTGCGAAGTACGACAAGTACCATTTAATGATATTACAAGGGTAGCACGCAAACAACTCATCTTGGGCTTCAGAGTCATCACAATATAAATGTCACTTACTTGGTGACATAACGACATCCGACTTATCCTCCCTTGGATGATAGGGGCGGCGCGGTAGAACTGGATTATCAGGCCTACCCCATTTTTCAGGAAAAACAGAAGCGCCTCCAATATTCGACAGACTCATGACAAATCTATTACCTTAGGATTACGTTAGTTATCCCCTGTGGTATCAATCCGTCATCCAGGGAAAACCAAATTTGACTGATAGCTTGAGTTTAATGTGTACGAGAGAGAGAGAGAGAGAGAAGAGCGAGAAGTGTGTTGTTAGAAAGAGATAGAAGCCGGCCGGCCAGCGAAGGACATCACCACATTGCCCAGCAACGGTGACGCAGAAGAGCGTACAATCTGCCGCGTTGCCAATCTGTTACACGAGTTCCTTGAATTACGATGCATATTGAAAATAAATCTGTTTAGGATCGATTCCGGATATTAATTTAGGGTAAAGCATGTTCGCCTACTTTAATCAAAATTTTAAACATAATGATCCAATTAACCATAACAAAATTGAGGGTATCTGCAATTATCGTCCGCCATGTTCAGACCCCCACGAGTTTTTGAAGAATATCGAATTTTTTTTCAAAATCAAAATAAGTTCATTTAAAGCAACATATTTTCTTGGGAGATGTCAATATAAATATTTTGGACAATGATCCCATCAAAAATGAATACTTGAATATCCTATCAAGTAACGGATTTCTGTCCTATATAAACCTACCTACGGTGGCACATGTATAGATCACTCTGCTTTGTGAAAGACCTATCCACAAAATTACTTGTCTACCAATAATCCTAGAAAGCGATATTACTGACCACTTCTCCACTATTTACTGATATCTTCAAATGAAAAACATTCTACATCCCTACCGTTAATAACAACCAGGAAATTACAAATTTTTTGTCGACAATTCAAACTAATATCAAATGTCAAACAAGAATCCTGGGAACAATTATACTCTATAAACAATATAGATAAAGCAACGGACTGTTAATAGAGAAATAAAAAAACTAATAGATATTAGTACCAATAAAGTAATAATTAGTCACAAAGAGAAAAGCAGAAATGCATGGATTACCAAAGGATTAATAACATCGGCAATAGAAAAAGAAAGACTATATAATGTAATGGAACTAACGCCAACTACAGAGAATACCGACTGTTACAACCAATATAAAGATACATTTTATAGAGCTTGCAAGGCAAACAAACGAAAACATTACCTAAATAAATTGAATAATAACTTAAATGATCCTAAGCGGCTTTGGACAACTATTGATGAGATTACTGGGAAAACAAAATTTAAAGAGTGTGTCACTGAGTTAAATACAACATAGGGAACAGTATTAAAAAATACTCAACAGATATGCGATGAATTTGTACAATTCTTTACTGACATAGGCGAAAATTTAGCAAGTAATATACAAGCAAATGTACAAAATACTCAGCCTCCAAAAAGAACTTTGAACTCATTTATTTTGGATAAAGTCGAACAATGTGAAAGTATACACCACTGTTATGTCCTTAAAAAATTGGAAAAGTCCTGGGTTCGATGGTATTAAAAGCGAGCATTTGAAAATTATAGCCGAGGAACATAACAGAACCACTCACTTACTTAATCAACAAATGCTTTGAATCTGGCATATCCCTCAATTTTAAAATAAGGTAATATAATACCGATACATAAATCAGTAACAAAAACAGATGTTAACAACTATAGACCAATATCAATAATATCCAGTGTAGCAAAGGTTTTTGAAAAAGGTTTATCTACTAGAATGATTCGATACCTCACAAAATTCAAAATTTAAGTGAAAATCAATATGGATTTACAGAAGGGAAGGCTACATCGGACGCAATAACTAAAATTGTAAATCAAATACATCAAAATATTGATAACAGAATCCCTTCAATCTGCATTTTTGTTGATTTAAAGAAAGCTTTCGACACAGTTAATCACAAATTATTATTAGAAGCATTGGAGAGAATTGGTTTCAAGGGAAACGCGTACTCACTGATCGAAAGTTATTTGTCAAATCGCCCACAATCTGTACAGATATCAGGATCATTTAGTAAAGAAATGTATATTAAGTGTGGTGTCCCACAAGGAACTGTCTTAGGTCCGCTGTTATTCAATATATATTTAAATGATATTTTCCAAATTAATTGTGTTGGCAAAATAACTAGTTTTGCAGATGATACTGCAATATTATATGAAGGCACTGACTGGTCTGATCTGAAAAATATAATTGAAAATGATTTTATCAAAATTATTCGGTGGTTTAACAGTAGAAAATTAGCATTAACTACTGTAAAACACATTTTTTACCATTTGGATCTTATGCTAGACATCTGCCAAATTACACAAATTTCTCCTTCAATATTAATGATCAAAAAATGCAAATTATTAGAGTGCCCAACATAAAATACCTTGGAGTGGTCTTGGATCCTCACTTACGATGGGACATCCATGTCAATTATATTTTAAAGAAAGTTAGATTTGTATCCTACAAAATTAAATACCTTGGGAATATATTGACAGAAAAATATCTTCGAACATTATACCATGCACTGATTGAGCCTCATCTCACATATGGTATATTAGCATGGGGAGCTGCATGTTCCTGACATATCTATAATTTAGATGTTTTTCAAAAAAGTATTCTAAAAATGATATTTAAAAAACCGAAACTTTATCCCACTGAAAAATATATGCAGATGTTCGAATGTATGATATAAGACAGCTTTATTTCTTACACAGTATCACTCACTACCATAAATTTGTAAACACCGACCAAAAAACTAAACATAATCATTATACCAGGTACAAAATTCGTGGCACAGTAGTTCCTCAACCGCATAAATCTATAATGCAGCGATCATATCTCTATTTCGCGCCTAAATTTTATGAAATTATACCTAAAGACTTAAAAGATTTACGTTTCGGAAATTGTTTCAAAAGAAATTTAAAAAGTGACTACATTCTATATCTAGGACTGAAATTCATAAACTCATAAATACGAACATCAACTAAATACATAATCTACTGTAGCTAATTTTTGTCCTTTTTTGTCATTTGCATTCTACAGTTTCAACTTAAATTATTGGTTCATATACAGGCGATGCCTTCTATTGGGCCTGTTTTGATTTTATATTTATTTACTCATATTGTTTGTTATCTTTGTACATTGAGTAAATAAATATTATTATTATTATTATTATTGAATTATACATATCTTGTAAATGCTACGTACACTAATACGATTGACGCAATGAAATGATATTAATTTATAGTCTGCAGAAATGATAATTTGCTTCCTGACAATAATTATTATTGACGCTGGCAATTGAGTGTTAATTTCGTATAATGATACAACACAAGTAGAAAAAAGCTCGTATATATTTGTGGTCACAATTGAAGCTAATTCTAGGAAAACCATTGAACATTATCGAATTATTTTTAACGAACTATTATAAGTAAAATTGATAGCAAAAAATTCTGTGAAAACTTCATCATAACAATTATGTCATACAGTCAAAATCTGTAAAAAAGTTGCGGTGTGACTTGTTTATCTTGTCGAGCTAAAAATCTAAATCTTTACATGCATAATCAAATATAACAACAGAGAAAACAAACATGTCAACCATAAAAACTGTGAAACCCCTGCCGAAACGTCTAAATATCAGTCAGTGAAAAAGATCCCGCAGAAACCTTATGGGGAATGGTTTTCGAAAACATCTTAAAAAATTGTATGTTATAGATCTTACATTTTAAACACGTAGTACAAAAGTGTATATGC